TTGTAATAGCCGCTCACACATACGAACCATGGAAATGGGACTTTTTCGTCCGTCATTGACAGCTTGACCACCCAAATACACACATTATGCCATGTTTGTCAAAATTCGAGGCCTGCATCTATTTAAACCCATGATAAGGCTGCGTAATGCCATCGCTCTTTGCCTCGTCTGTACACAATCATTCATCTGCGCATCACAACTACAACTGTTACGACAGCCAGAAGATAATGAACGCGAACGGGATCAAAAGCAAAGGGTTCTGCGTAATGACATTCAGCGCCTTCTATCCGAAAGCGACTGGCCCCAGGGTGAGCCTTTCATGCAAAATAGAACGCTCTTCAACACCACTCTAATCGGCAAAGAAAATTATACAAGTTACTGGCATTTGTCGGCTGATGCGCCTGTGGCTGAAACGTTGGACGCTGCGCAACGCATTCATGTCCCCAAGTTCATTGAGGGAAAGATGGCAGCTGTGGCTGAAGGCGATCGAGGTGGTCAATGCTTCTGTCCTGGAACAAATACCTTTCCCAGCCACCTCGTCCCGGCACCTATTTTGATCACCGTTATGGGATGCGTATTCATTGCCCTAAATAGTGTTTGGGTGTTTCGGATATTTTTTCTAAAGCGCAGCCTCTGTCGTTCGGCAAATTCTGGGGAACCTAAATACAGCCTGACTTCCAGCTCCTACGACACGTCTCATCAACTGAGGTCTAAAGCTCAATGCTATGAACGGCTGGTGGACATCTATCTGAGTCTGCACATTCATGCCACACTTACTGTGATCATCTTCTTTCTTCTTCGCATGTGTTTACACACAGTTTTGCATGGTAAAGTCTGGAACTACCTGATTGAGGGACCCTCGACGTCCATGTGCAAACATCGCATAGTCTGTTTACTAGGCACCCTACTGCTGGACATTGTGGTGTCTACTTTTTGGTCTATGCTTCTACTATCTATCCTTTTACTGTTTATTTTAACGATCAATCGCAGACGTCATGTACTTTTTCGTCTGTGCAAGTTCCTAAGTGGCTGCAGACGGCAGAGCCTCTTCGCAATTCTTCTACATGTTTGTCCTTGGTTCCTTAGTCTGAGTTCGCGT